CCCCCCCCCGCCTGACACACACAAAATCAATTCTGTGACCTGTAAATAATGTTTATGTTCATTCTTAGTGGGAGACTGTAAAACAGATTTTATCATCATGCTTCAAAGGATAAATAAGTCAGTTAAATATATTTTATATAGGAAAAAAATACCTTGACAATGTCCTTTTAATTTGATTATTTGCCTCAGTGTTCATAAACGAGGATGGAAAACAGACGCCAGAAAGAAATATGGGCAGGGAAGAAGAAATAGTGAAGGAAATCAGGTTAATTAGAATTCAATCAAAATTTAAGAAATGTGTTACTCTAAAGACTGCCAAAAATAGTCTGTGTCAAAGCACCAGACACTCTGGAAGGAATTATGCTTTTGAACTGTCTGGCTATGGAAAAAGAAAATTATTCAGTTCAGGAAAAGATTATAATTTAACTGATCACAGAGTTATAAGAAGAATAATTCAGAAACTCCTCCCTTTCAATTCAGTTTAATCTCTGAAGACTTAAGAAATGTAAGTAGAAACAGAACAAAGAGAGTACATATATAGATGTAGCTTACGTTCTAATGAGGACAATTTAGATTTGTTTTTCAGAGTAAAATCTGACATTCCTAAGAAAAAGGGAAAAAAATACAACTTTCTAGATGAAATCTCTGCTATAACTGTCATTTCTAGTAAATCTCACTATTTTCATTTTACGTCCCTCATTTATATTTTATTTGTAGGAGATATCAGCTTTTGGCCTTATGTATTTGAAGGGAAAAAAATCTATGATGATGGATTTTACTCTTGTGAGAAAATGCCCAGTTTCCAGCATCACCTATCATAATCACTAGAAATAATTACGAAGTTTCCACTGTGTAAAAGGCTTTGCACCAGCTTTCTAGCATGAGTCATTGTGAAATGTCCTTATATAGCTAAAACACCAAATGTATGACTAAGTAATAAGAAGACAATATGTTGGTAATGGTGGTGTATGTGTTTGCACCTACACGTTACAAATGTTTGAACATGAGTCATGCCCATCTTTAAGAATGGCAAGTGATCCAACTGATATTTCTACACAGCACATTAATAGATGGTCTTGCAGATATTGTAGCTACTTAGCATTAACATTATTTCAGTCTGCCTCTCAGAGTTACAACTTAAACAGATCGAGGAATGTGGCTTCAAAACATGAAGAATAGGCTTTTTAGCAATGCAGTACACAAATTTCTCTGCCTGTTAACAAAATGACAGGTTGATATTTCTCAAACTTGTTATTTCACACTAATGAAAGGCTAGGTCCATCCAATGTATCATTTTCCTCAAAGCCTGGGCAGGTAGAAAATCTTTGCCGTTAGGCTCTGGCATACTTTGTCCCTAAAATAAATTCCTTATTGAAACAAGCATTATATTAATATTTACATGATTGTCCTTTATTTAAGATTTATCTGGTCATATTAGCTAAAATAAATACAAAACAAAACTTTCATCTCAAATTTTGCTGGAGGAAAAACAGAGAGAGGAAAAGTGTTCATCTGTCATTTGAAATATCTATTCAATAACACTATGACTTTATGTATATAATATATATAAAACTATATAAAAGTATGTACATAAATGTATTAATACATAGAGAAAAGAGCAAAAGGAAATAAACTAATATAGTAACTGAAGTTTTCTTTCACACGTTATAGTGGTGATATTACAGGTGAATTTTCTCTTCATTTTTTTCTGTGTTTCCTGTAGCAAATAATATTAGTTATGTAATATTGAAAGCAATAAAGATGATTTAAACCCAACTAGACTTCTCTGAAATTTTCATTTTGGAAACAGAATTTTCCCCCACATAAGACATCATTCCAGTGGGTAATAGAGCTCCTGGCTTCGCAGACGTACCTTGCTGCATGGAGCAAACCAGTAAATGAGAGCCAGAAAGGGCAGTCCAACGGCAACGGCAAGGACCACAAGAAACTTGACCGCCATCGTCTGCTGCCGTAAACCGGAGAGGTTCTCATACCATATAGAGAGAAGCTGCTGTTGGCAGTTTGGATGAGCTACAAACTAGTGGGGAAGTGACAAAACATTTAACAGCTTGATTAAAGAAAGGTTCAGTATAAACTATTCTCAAATGTTTTAATATTCAGTTCTGTGCCTTCCCATAAAAAATATTGTTAGGATTAAAGAACAAACATAAAACATCTAATTAACAGGCATCAAGCAAGGTGGCAAGAGGTTCTAATATGTACTATATAAATTTGAAAATTCCAGTTTTTCAAACTTTTCCTTTATGACTTTCTTTGAAAATATAGAAAACTTTTTGAAATTTAATGTTATAAGAAGATTCATCAATGTTTTACATGTGGGCTTTTTATGATTATATGTATTTTTTCCCTCTAGAAGAAATGAGGTAAATATCATACTAGTCCAATTGGCTAAATACTTTAAAAACATAATGCTTCTTTTCCTATACGGACCTAAAAATGTTACACTTATTTTATACTAAATTCCCACTTGTATGTGGGTCTGGTTCTAGGCTGCCTATTCTGTTCCATTGATACCTCCTTTTATTCTTGTGTCAATAATCCTTTCAATTAAGAAAATGTTAAAAGTCAATTTTTATTCTTCAAAATTTTTCTATTCTCACATATTTAGTTTTTACAAATGAACCACACATATGACAGAGTTATTTAATCTATAAAAAGCAACAACCCAAGATAAAAATTGGTAAAAAATATTAAAAGATTACATAAAAGAACCACAGTTGAGTCTTAAGGATGGTTAACCTTGAAGGTAATTAAGGCAAAGCACAATGTTGACTCGGAATGGTGAAGTTTGTAATATCCATTATGGGTGGAAACTGGTACACCATTTTTGAAAGGAAACTTAGCAGATGTTTTGAAATTTAAAAATAAAAATTTGACATATTAATTCCACGGTTAAGAATTTTTGTCTACAGATAAAACTCATGCAAGTAAGCAAGCTATAAAACAAGTATGTTTACTGTACAAAAAATAGACAAAAAATCTTATAACAACAAAAATCTAAAAAATATAATAAACATCCTTAAAGAGTAAACTGTTTAAATGAATATAGTAATACAACAATGAAGCCTTTAAAAGATGAAGTGGACATTTATTGGCTGATATGTGAAGATGTCCAAGACAGAAATTTGTGGAGAGAAACATAAGAGTGGTTAATTACTCTCCATTAAGAATTAGAAAAATTTGGCTGGGCGCGGTGGCCCACGCCTGTAATCCTAGCACTCTGGGAGGCCGAGGTGGGTTTGAGCTCAGGAGTTCGAAACCAGCCTGAGCAAGAGCGAGACCCCGTCTCTACTAAAAATAGAAAGAAATTAATCAGACAACTAAAAATATATAGAAAAAAAATTAGCCAGGCATGGTGGTGCATGCCTGTAGTCCCGGCTACTCGACAGGCTGAGGCAGGAGGATCGCTTGAGCCCAGGAGTTTGAGGTTGCTGTGAGCTAGGATGACACCACGGCACTCTACCCCGGGCAACACAGTGAGACTCTGTCTCAAAAAAAAAAAAAAAAAAAAAAAAAAAAAGAATTAGAAAGATTTAGAGGGGGCATGTCTACACAGTTAGGAAACTTACCATGAGCATGTATTACTTTTGTTAGAAAATCTACCTTTAAAAACTTTTTAAAAGATACTTTATATAACCTAAGAAAGTAGTCAAGGGGGTAGAGGAGGCCACTGCATGAAGACAGAGACTAAAAATATTAAATTCCACAAATAAAGATACAGCTGGAAGAAATTCAAAGGTACTAAGGAAGAAATGGAAGGCACTGATCCCAAATTGGTAAATAGCAACAAAGGGGAAATGGAGTAGAGTCTTAAATAATGATGTTTCAATAGCGTAACAAATGTAAAATATGAATGCACAAAGTCTTTGTTATATCATTAGTGGAGTCAAGGAAAGTGGCAACCACTGCAAAGTTCTGTAAGAATAAGCCTAGATTTTAAAGACTGGCAATAGGGTAGGTTAAGTGCCTCACAACTAGGTAGATGTTTATGATTCATTAGAGAATCTGCCCCGTGCAACTGTTAATTAGAAAAATCCAGGTCAACTTAACAATAACAACCTTTTATCCTTATTTAGCACCAATAAGAATTGGAATAACATAAATGGGCTTCATGCCTGACCTTACTTTTTTTACTTCATATTTAATGGCAAGTTTTAAACGGCTGAGATTCGGGCGACCGTGATCACCACTGTGGAGCGTTTCAACATCCCCATTGAGAATGGCCTCGACTTCTTCAGTATTTCTGCACAGATCAAGGAGTCCAACAACAAAATCCTTGCACTGCATTGAGAGTTTTTTGTAGTCATTCTAGGAAAGACAAGCCAAAACAAACGTAATAATGTAAAAGTAGCACATTTTGTTATGTTATGTGGCAGAATATTTCTGTCACTTAAAGGATTGTACACTTCAAGAGAAAAATTCTACTTTTGGTTTTACTGTTCTTTTAACATATTTCAATTGTCGTTCTTCTGACTGGTCTCTAAAATATTTTAGCATCACAAAGATTTTCTTCATACCCTACAAAAAGGAAATTTGCCTAAAACATAATCAAAGATTTTAAAAGAGAGTATGCTGTGCCAAACTTACCTGTTGATTCAGGAGAAATATAAAATAACCAACTTTTTCCACGGCATGATCATAGTACTTTGCATACATCATATCCTTTGTGGCCATAACTTTATCAGCTAGCCACATAGTATACATTTAATAGATCTTTGGAAGACCTTGTAAACTGTGTTGGTAAACTTGAAAAACAGAGAACGTTTAGAAAGGTCCCAGAGGAAAACAAGCACATATAGATTACCTATTTGACAAATTGTTATTGAGGAACATTACATGCCAAGCACAGGGTGGAAAACGAAATTCAGATATAGAGTCCACAAAGTGAGATTCTTCTCTTTAGAAAAAAGAAATTGTAATGAAAATGCTTTTGTTGTTGTAGTTTCGTAGTTTGCTGATGACCTAACATTCCGTTGGGAAGATTTAGAGAGTGCAGGTCACATTCAGATCACCATAAACTCGTGTCATCCTTCCATCCAGCATCTATGGACATCTTCATTCAGGTCTTTCTAATACTTTCTCCCTCTTACACTAAGGCCACTTATAACCAAATGTTAATCAAGAAAACCTACTAGCTAGAGCTTATTGTATTGCAGGAGGATGATATTACCACATTTAATCTTGATGATAATCTTGCTCAAGTTAAATAATGTGTGCAAAATCATGCATACAGTAAGCATTAAAATCAGGCATTAAGCCCAAATATGTTTGACCCTAACTTCATTTCTTCTTTGTAGAATTCTTTTCTTTTCTTTCTTTCTTTCTTTCTTTTTTTTTTTTTGAGACAGGGTCTCGCTCTGTTGCCCAGGCTAGAGTACAGTGGTGCAATCATAGCTCACGATAACACTCATAGCTCACGATAACATCAAACCTCCGGGCTCAAGTGATCCTTCTGCCTCACCCTCCTGAGTGGCTGGGACTACAGGCTCACACCACCATGCCCGTTTATTTATTTATTATTTATTTATTTACTTTAGAGAGGAGGTCCCACTATGTTGCTCAGGCTGGTCTCAAACTCCTGGTCTCAAGAGATCCTCCTACGTTGGCCTCCCAAAATACTGGGATTACAGGCATAAGCCACTGTGCCTAATCTAGAATGCTTTTCTACTTTGATTTTTGAAACAACTAGGGGGGCAAGCAAGGTAAATACTATTCTCATTTTGTGCATGAAAAAACCAAGGCTCCCTGAAGTCACACAGTTTCAATGACAGAGTTTGTTCTTAAACCCAGTTTTGCAGATTCAAAGTTAGTTGTCTCCCCTTCCTTAAACTACCTGTATGTTGTAGAATGAAAAGATCTCCTCGGACGGATCAAGAGAGGAAGATCTGGAAAAATGTGTGTGGTTCTGGATGTCAGTTAACAAGGCAATATGTTGGGGGAGTGTATATGGAGCACAGCTCTATACTGGATATGTTACGTGTAAAGCACCTACTTGGGCTCCTCTCTGTAAATCTTGCCAAAAGCATTATACCAATATAAATTTCCTGGCTTTGCTATTGTACTATAATTACAAAAGATGTAATCAACGAGGGGAACAGGACCCCTCATCACAGGACCTCTCCATACCATGTTTGCAACTTCCTGTGAATCTATACTTATTTAAAAATAAATTCTTTTTAAATTGAAAAAAAAAAAAAGAACTGTTTTCCAGAGAGGTGGTACCACTTGGCATTCTGCTAGAACCAGAGTTCCAGTTGCTCTGCATCAGGAGCAGCACATTTGAAATTGTCGGTTTTATTTTGTTTTAGCTATTCTAATGTGATGGTATCTCATTGTGATTTACATTTGCATTTTCATTTTCCTGAAAACCAATGATTGTCGAGCGTATTATTATATCCTTATTTGCCGCCTTATATCTTTTTTGATATAGTGTCAGTTCAGGTTCAAATCTCTGTCCATTTTTTAAGTGGGTTTTTTTTTGGTACTGTTGAGTTTTAAGACTTCTTTATTTATTCTAGATACAATTATCCTAGTAGATACGTATTTTTAAAATATTTTTTCCAGCCTATCGCCTTTTGTTCGTCCTCTTCACAGTGTTTTTCACAAAATAAAAGTTTATAATTCTGAAAAAAAAAGTGAACTTCAACTTCAATACAGTTTAGCAAGCTAAACAGGCTGCACTTTGTTTCAGGTCCAAAGAGATTCTATAAAAGCAAACTGAGAAAGCAAATTGTATCTTAGCTGAGAACAGCTCAAACTATTTCTAACCAGGTGTCGGGGTAGATAGTATATGACAGGTTACAAAGAAAAGGCTCTGCCCCTTTCATGAAATAGTCAATTAGGGTCATGGGGACAAACCTTGAGATATGTTGTCCATGTCCATCTAGACCTAGATATATCTGTAACCAAATCCCAGCTCTTCCACTTAGTAGCTATGTGACCTTAAATAATTTAGAACCACTCTATGAGGTAGGTGCTATTATTTACTCTTATTTTACAGATGAGAAAACTGAGGCTTAGTGAGGTTAAATAAGTGTTGAAGAGATCATGCATGCCAAAGTCCTTAGCACAGTGCTGGGCAGTTAGCAAGCATTTGATAAAGTATAACTATTCTATTTTATATCATCAAGGGCAAAATCTGAAAACAGTCCATCTCTTGACCGTCACAAAATACTATGGAGCTATGACAAAATTAATGCACCTGGCTTCTCTTATATGTAGAGCTGAATTATAGAAGTACATATTATTAGTCCTTTTAAAGGCAACAAAGGAAGAGTCAAAATCCGTGCTCTCTAGAATCCTAAGCAAGCTCAGGTGAAATCAGATATTTAGGAGAAAGCATGATTCTTCAAGTGTGGGGTAACAGTAGAAACCACGGGAGACTGAAAAAGTAAAGTGCAGGAGCTTTGAGGTATTTAATACTTTAACCTAAACATTTTTCCTAGTTCACTGCTAATTTCCAAGGAATATTCTCAAGCTAAAACACCTATGTAAGAAAAGAGAGAGAAAGAAAGAATAAGACTGCTTTTAGAAATACCCTTTTTAAAACTTGAGAATCCATTTACAAATGTATTCATATTTTAAGTTACTGATATTAATATTATGAATTCATATTTTAAGTAACTGATATATCAACTCATTTCAAATGAAATATTGGTAATAGTCCATTAGCCAGAACATACACACACACACACACACACACACATACACACATATACACACACTTCCAATCCACTTATATAATTTTGGTTCCTTGAGGAGAAAAGTGAAGCTGGGGGGTTGATTTAATTCTGAGTCATGTCTTTGGTTCACACACCTGTACCATACATTAATAAATTATAAATGGGTGCTCACCTACTAACCTTTCAGTTGAAAAGAGATGACTGAGAACAGGCTAACAGAACAGAGTTGAGAGACTATTTTAAAAAATAAAAACATTCTTGTTAAAATTATCTTCTCAAGGGGCCATCTTAATTGGATTTTACATAGTAGAAGAGATGTTATGATTTGTGATTTTAATCTCTAGCTCGCCTTTCTACATAGAAATTAAGAGCGTGGGGAAAAATACATGCCTTGATCCTCAGTAATCAACTGCGGGCTTTGGAGAGGGCAGACCTGGGTTTGAAATTAGGCTCAGCCACTGACTGACTAGCTATGTGACTATGGACAAATAGCGTAATCCTTTAAGGCCTTAAAATCTTCGTGTGTAACATGGGGATAATATTAGTACCTACTTCCTAGGGTTGCTGTGAGGATTATACAAGATAATGAATGCCAAGTTCTTGGCATAGGATAGTATTGGTCAACATTAATTATTATTGTTGTAGTTTTCATTGTTTCACAAGCAATGTCCAGGTCTTTTCAGTCCCTCATCACAAAGCTATGCTAACAAATATAAAGGCATGTTGGGGTCCTAGGATATCACCTAAAAACATATTGAAAACAAAACAATTATTCATTCATACATTTCACCAAATAATCTATGTACCAGTGCTGTGATAGATACCACAGTCTTACTAAAATGGGAGTTTGTAAAATGAGATTATGTACATGAAGAGTGAGATAAGCACATAATATTATTATCTATATAGTGATGAATTGGCCAGCCATGCTTCTTGGAACCAAGTACAACTCTGAGCCTTTCTTGCTGTTCAGGATAAATGTCTCTAAATGGCACATTGATTGTTGCGTTCTGTCACAGCTGATGTGGTGATGATTGGCAAGCATTTATAGAGCACTTACTGTGTGGGTTTTGAGGTACATAAAAATTAACCAGACACTATTTTACAGAAAAAGTGGACAGAAATGAGATAAAGTTTCAAAACAATAATTGAGGAAAAACATTTTCTTTGCTATGTCAGATGCTACTGCCTTTTTCTGTTAATTTGCACCATCAGCAGTGGCTGCTTATTTCACTTAATGTAGAGTTTGGTAACAAGCTTTTACTCTTCCCTTTATGTAGAAATTTTCAAGTCCCATTGAAGCTATGAAGCCTGGAGAGCAGTGGTGAAGGTAAACAGGTAGTTTCAAGGGTTAGGGTCTCTCATAAAGCAGATTGTTGCACTTAACTTCCCTCCCTCACTGTTGACTTGTCATAGACCTAAAATTATGCCAGAAAAGAGATTTTCTCTTCCCATTTATTTCAAACTGGGATAGGAAAGTCAAAGGGAAAAACACACATACACGCACACTTCCATACCACTTTACTGCATTTGTTCAGGTATCTGCCTCTCTTAATAGACTCAAATATCCTTCAAGGCAAGGATTATATACTATCCATCTTTGTGTCCTCCGAGCCTAGCATCGTG